TCTTTCCACTCTCCACTGACATGTATTGTTTGAACTGAACTCTGAAGGATTAAGGGAGAGAATCCAATGAGCAAGGATGGGTGGAAAAGGGGAACAGTTACTCCACACCGTTGAGTGGCTTGAGAAATCATAATAGGTGATTGAGAACTGCTATTGAGAGTAATAATAAAACAAATAAATTATAGTAGGTGTTCTTTGTTTTTCCCTGTAACAGATTATATGGGGAAGCAATGTGAAAGACGGCTTTTAAAAGCTTAGGTTAGAATCAGATATGAAGCATTGGGAATGCCATTCTAAAGACTGCGGATTTTATTCAGTAGAAAACAGGGAGCTATTTAGTATTACGTAAGGCTTTGTCAAGTTCTAGTTCTAGTTGTTTCACTTCCAGATGTAGCCATCACTTTCTTAAAAAATAATTCTTTAAGGTCCATTTACAATCAAATTTTGACTTCTCTTCCACTGATAAACAGATTTTTCAACTGTATATACAGGGCAAATATTGCCTATAAATCTTTCCATCTGGTATCTGGTAGACTTAGTAGATCCAAATAGCATAGAACACAGAAATAATGGACAGAGCATCCCTATCAGATGAAAATAAGTGCCACAGAGCCAGAGCCCATCCAAAGAAGATAAAAGGGGAGTTACTTGTTCTCAAGTAATAAACATATATGACTTAATGTTACCCATAAAATTTGATTATCTGTTTTTCTTTACCTGAACTTTGGGAATTCCTATAGTTTTTTTCTAGGTTAAGGAGAAGAACAGGGGGGTCTAAACAGGATAGCAAATAAATAGCAAAAGAAAAGGAGATATAGATGGGGAAGCCAATTGGTGGGGACAGAAGTAGTCTCACTAACAGAAATGAAAAGTTTCAGTGACTGAAAGGAAATAAATGCAGATGGCCATAAAAGAGAGGTGAAAATCAAACCAGAGAACACAGCAGTTTAGAGTCATTTGTAGGGGGCAAAGAGATCCTGAAAGTAAAATGTAAGACACATGTTATTACAGTACAATAAAGTAGTAATTGTTCATACAGAACAGGTTAGATTATATCTTGAGTTTGAAGAGTAGAGAATACAGGTATCTTGGAAACCATCTTGTGTAAAACTATTAACCCTTTTAATACCAAAATAAAATTTCTGCAATCTAGAAAGTCTACCTACCCAAAATACCTCTTTTTCTAATTAACTCAGGAATAAGGTATAATTGTATTTGTACCTATTATCTGTCCTATGATTTTAGTGTGTTCTAGAACCTCAATTGCTGAGAAGCTAATATCCGACTCACCTAAATGAAGCTTTTCTGTGGATATTTTATAAGAAAGGTTTTTATATCATCCTGCCTTTCCAGATCTCTACCCCCTAGATTCTGAACTTGTTTGTTCGCTAAAGGGAAAACTCATTGTTCAGTGTAGCACAGAGAAGGCAAATAGTGAATCTGTGGCATCTTACTACAGCGATGGACAGTAACTGTAATGGGGTGTGGGTGGGGACTTGATAATATGGGTAAATGTAGTAACCACATTGGTTTTTCATGTGAAACCTTCATAAGAGTGTATCAATAATACCTTAATAAAAAAAAAAGAAAAGTCATTGTTACATGCCATGTGTCTACATATGTTACACTCTGTACCTTCTGAGAAAAAAAAACAAATGTGATATCCTTAAAATAGCACCACTTTGGCACCAAGCAGCTGTGTAGCTTTAAACAAATCCTAACATCTCTTTGTAGGGAGTCAGTAAATAGTTTCTCAAATACTGAAAAGCTAGTACTGAGCAGTATTGGTCAGAAAGGAAATCTTCCTAGAGAGGTTAGATGTAGTTAGTAGAAACTGAATATTTTAATGGGGAAACATTAGTAAGATAGCCAAGGAATAGCAGGCTGAGTATTTACTTTATTACAACCACAGGAGTCAGGTATGGAAGAATACAAGTTGGAGCTCAACAGTTGGAGCAGAGAACCAACTAAAGCTGAACTACCTAGTCCTCCTGTACATTTTTCCCAGCTATAGAGCTCTTCCTGGCATTGATTATAGTAAAATGAGAAATGTCTTAGGCAAATAAAATAAACAGCAGAGGTGGAGTAACAAATGGTTTCAGTAAACTGCCCTTGAAGGAAGGTCTGGGAAAAAATTTAAAAAGACTGCTTAATGGACAAAAGGCTGATCTTGAAGGAATGAACTTAGCTAAACATTGAAGAAGTTGTATAGAACCTACCAGATCAGGCACTGTGTGAGTACTCAAGGAACTTCGTTTCTCCTATTGTACTTGTAGGTAGTACAGTCACCTAGCTGAGAATCCACAGCACTGCCATCACATATGGGAGGAGCTCCAGAACCAAAGAACAGCAGAACAGCGTGGCTTTAGTTCCTTGCCAAGAAACTTGTAGTTTCTTGCTTTATTGCTTTGTCTATTCCATGCTGTCTCTACTTAAGTACAAATTAGGCTCTCCTAAGAAGAACCATTTTGCATACAACTTTGAGTATTTATACTGAAGTTGTACAGTTCAGAGTCATTTGGTAAATTTGGGCAAAGAAAATCTTAGATGAGTTAATATCACTTGGTGTGGACTTACAAATCTTTTATGTTTATGCTGAGTCAAAGCCAAGGAAATACAAAGTTGAGTAAGATTTTTCTGTAGCCAAATGTGGGTTACATCATCACGAGCTTGAGAAATATGAGCCAGAATGATGATTTTTAATGGACACTAACAGTGGGCTGAAAACAGGATCACGCAGAGGAAGTACATACTCAGCCTTATTGCAGAGTAGTGATAGTGATCTTTTCAAGAGCTTTATCCATTGGTTTTTGTTCTTGCTGCTAACAGAGTTGTCAGTAACAAGGTTCTCTTTTTTAGTCAAACCAGTCATGTTTGTAAAAGTTTTCCTTTCCCAAAACCTCTTTCATTTGACTTTTACTGTCAATTTCAGTTTTTATGTAAGGTTCACTTAAACTTTAAAAGCAATAATTAAAATTGCCTGGTACATTAACCTTCCCCTTTTTATTTCTCTTGCTTTTATCTATCCACTTGATACCAACATGAAGCTATATAACCTTTTGAACTAAAAGGTTTCTTTTCTGTTTGTTGTATGCCTGAAGTGTTGAGCAAGGTCTTTCCATTCTGCATGTCAGAACCCCAACATACACCAAAGCTGTAGCTTCTGGAGTCTCCAGTAAGCTTCACAGCCTCTGAGAGCTCCTCTGTCAGGCCTCAGAGTCCTGCTCTGGATGTATTTGAACCCTGCAACTCAGTATTTGAACAAAGATTAGAAGAATCCTGGTACAGGTTTCTTGAGTTCCTCAGCAGCTCTCTTTTCTCTAGAACCTTGTTCCACAAATTAAACTCAATTTAGTACCCTGAGTGCTAGTCGTCTTTTTTTAATCCATCCAGTGAGGTAACTATACCTTGTTTGGGTTTAATTGACCCATGTTGCAATTTGGAAAATCCCACCCAGCAGAAAACTGACAGTGTATTACCTTTTTCTCTAAAAGATCACAGCCTTGTTTGTGCTGTCTATTATCCAGTGTCTGAAAACACATAAAATAAATGAAGCAGTTTGTTTTAGAGTAGTTTACAGGGAAAGAGTCAGCAAGATAATATGTTATTCCATCATGGCTGAAACCAGAAGTTCATTGAATTGATTTTTATCATGGTGGCTTCTTAATATCTTTTTTCTACACTGAATTAATATTTCTAGATATCTGGTGATACAATTCCAGAAATACCACATGAACTTTATTAAACTTTTAAGTACTAGCTCATTTTTATGCTGTTACGTAAATATTCAGAGAATTAGCAATAGGTTTCCTATTTTGAGCTGCATGTTGTAGGAGAAGCTGCAAAATAGTGTGCCAGTAGAAGAACAGCATGAAGACTTTCTTTTAACTTCAAAGAGTTTTCACCTGCCTTCAGAAAACAAAGCAGGCAACAGTTACCAAAGAGAAAATTGCTAATAAGTAGTGGAAATTGATATTGGCTGGATAATAGTAATATCCAACATTTAATGACCTAGGCACAATTTGAATTCATAAGTTATCTGATTTAATCCTACAAACAATGCCATAGGATAATGTTTTCATTCTCATCTTAAAAATGAGAAAACTGAGTATTAAAAAAGTTAAATAAAATATAGAGTACAGGTGAGAGCCGGATTTTAAACCCAAGTCTGCTCATTATTTCAGAGCCTGAGCTCTTAACTTCTGTAATATAGTCCAGAAATGCTTGCATTACAGAAATGGGAATCAAGTTGGATCTTAACAGGTATGATTTGTAAGAGTGAAAAAGCATAAGAAATAAAATGACTTCAAGGAAAGATGATGTATAGAACCACCTTGTTTGGAACAGGTTGTTGCCAAAGCATATTTAAAATTATTTGAGGTGGAGAGTAGTAAGATAATTGTGCATGAAAGCAATGTTTAAAAAAAGTTTTCCTAGCAGCAAAGAGAGGATGCATCTGATGGAAAAAAGATAGAAGTCAGGGAGACCCTCTAGGAGACTTACTTACAGCAATTCCATAATGACTGATTAAAATTCTCAAATGACTCAGGGTGAGGACATGGAAATGGTGGAGAGTAGTAATATGAAAGACAGTTCAAGTGAAAAATTGATCAGAACATTCTTACAAAGAAAACTGATAATTATGGAAAGTAGTAAGTCAAAGATACAACCACATATTTTTGTTTTTGGAAGAGAGTGAGGATGGGAGACAACTAATAAAAATTACTAAATAGGAGGAAAGACAGGGCAGGGAAGGTTAGTGAGACCCTGTTGTCAAATTTCCTATGTTGCTATTCAGATGGAGTGTTCTGTAGGCATTTAACAGTAAAGACTTGGAGTTTTGATACAAGGGCAAGATAGAGGAATTTGAAATACTGTCAGTGATCATATACTCCCTTTGTGTTTCCAACCAATCGCTTCCCATCCAGATCATGACATTTATCATTAGCTAACTATATATTTTTTAAAGGTAGTATCATGTATCTATTTCTGCCTTACAGAAAGAAATTCTGGAACAACAGCAGCAAGAAAGAAATGATAACAGTTTTCATGGCACTTGTATGTTTTGCAATGAGGAGTTCCTTGGAAACAGGTTTGCCATTATGCATGTCTCTAAATGTTAGTTTTTCATCTGAAAATTCACTGAAACATCCATAACGGTCATACAAATTAAGTTGAATGGGTTGGCTCAGGACCCTTTTCATATACCTGCAGAGATTTTTTTAATATGCTTAACATCAAAAATGGACTGTAGTTGCTCGAAACAGATTAGAGGAATAAATTTTTTAAATGCCAAAAATAGATTTGTGTTTAATGTTAAAAACCTTTTTAATTGCCTGACCAGCAAGACCATGTGCAACAAATTATTACAGATATACCTTCTGTATTGTTAACTAAACCATTAGCAGTTTTTGGTGTTTCGCTATTATTAAAAATGATAAAGAACCTAAAAAACAAAAACAAAAACAAAAATCTGGGGGATTGTTAGTTCTCTTACCAACCTCAGCTGGTGTACTGTAATTTAATTCCAACACTAACCACCCAGAGTTGGCATGAGACTGCAGGTTTAAGGGCATTGTCCCCATCAACATTGCCCCAGCTTTAGACACCAGCCACAAGTTCAGGGGATTCCCCAGGACACCTGCACTTTTGACCAACTGGCTACAAATTCACTAATTCCCACCAGTCATTTGCATGAGGTCAATAATTCACTAACATAACTCACAAAACTCAGGAAAGTGCTATTCCTACAATTACAGTTTTATTTTAAAGGATACATATCACGAACAGCCAAATGAGGAGATGGAGAGGGCAAGATCTAGGAAGGGCCTGAACTCATGGTTTCTATATCTTCTCCCCAAGAAATCAGGATACCTCACCCTTTCAGCACATCAGTGTATTCCCCAACCAGTATCTTCACTGAGCTTTGGTGTTCAGAATTTTTAATGGGACTTCATTATATGAGCATGATTGATTAAATCATTGAACCTAATCTCCAGCCCCCTTCCTTCACTGAAGGTCAGGCTGGTCAAAGTCCTAACCCTCCAATCACATGATTAGTCATTCTGGTGACCACCCCCATCTGAAAGCTCTCTAGGGACCCACCAGGAATCACCTTATTAGCACAACAGATATTTCTATCATAGAGAAATTCTAAGGGTTTTAGAAGCTGCGTGCCAAGAACCAGGGACAAAAAATCAGACAAATTTCATATTATGCAAAGTAATATTTACAAACATACATTTGTTCAGAAAGACTTTGGTTCTTTGTCAAAGGGAAGTCAGACTGAGACATGAAACCAAAGTCAAGAAAGCAAAGCAAGTTTTATTATGCTCTGTAATAGAGTAGGCCCAAACCTAGTGTCTGACAGGCCCCAAATTTTGGGGGAGAGTTCCTTTTTATGAGCTTTGCAAGGGTTTTTTAGGAGGGGTAGTGTTATACAAACAAGAGTTAATTGATAGGCTGGCAGTGATGTAAGCTAATTTTTACTGTGCATGCTCTGCCCCAGAATTCTCTCTGATTGCCCACAAAGAAGGTATCAGTAAAAGTGTGTAATATTTCCAGAATCTCTTGCCTGGCCTTAGTACATCTCCATATCAATAGGTGTTTTCAAGGGGAGGAGAGTACTCCATCTCCATATCAATAGGTGATTACACAGGTGCAGGGAGCAAGGGTATATCTGGACCACAGAGGTTTGGTGGGATCCCTTTTTGCAGCCAGGTCACAAGAGACACCGGCAAGCAGAAGTGGATGACTGTTGGTAAGCAATAAATGGGTTTCTCCCATTTTATTTCTCCCTTTAACTGATTTTGGCTTCAAAGGAAATTTTCCCAGGCTGGGAACATATTTTGCACCAGAGTTACAGGGGACTAAACCGCAATGCTGATGAATTTTAATGACTTTGTAATGAGGACAGGTCACTTCAGTACACCCCAGGAGCATGCCTAGTTAGGCTGTAGCTTGTGGAATGTCTCTTGTGATTTTACTGGTCCTGCTAGGGATTTTCTCATTGGTGGAAACTATCTGTATTCCTGACCTCTCTGTGGTCAACCCTACCTCTCCTCTTACTTATCTCTGGCTTCCTGACTAACACATTCACTCAGATACACGTCATGAAGTTGTAACCTCTAGGAACAGGGAACAGTTTCTGACAACATAGAACTGGACAATCAGAAAAGTATTTCCTGCCTACTTGAAAGAAAGCAGTCTTTAGTGTGAAAACAAAACAAACCTACCACAGTACCTGACATTATTGTTTAGAAAGCATAGTTTCAGTAACAACATAAAATAGACAATCACAAAAGTATCATTTTCTGCCTACTTGAAAGAAAGTAATCTTTAGTGTAAAAACAAAACAAACTTCACATAGTAGCTGACATTATTGTTTAGAAAATGTTGAAAAGGAGAGGGTAGCTACATATTTGAATTGAGAAATGGGTTTTGTTAAAGCATTAGTAAAAATATCATTAATAAAAATTTTATTCTTATATAGATCAGTTAGATAGAGAAAAATCTGTGCCAAGATCACTGATTATGCTTCTACCTGTCTTTCCATTTCAACGGGCTTTTGGAGGATGGCAGTGAGGACCAGGCTTGAGAGTTATTATGATCAGTAAAAATACACCTCACTATCAAAAAATTTACCAAACATTGCTACTGAAAATTTTAACCATTTTTAGGGTAGGATTATTGTTAACCTGGTGAGGAGGTATGTAATTATTGTTAGGGTTCTCTAGTATTGACATATGAGAAGCTACAAATGATGTTTTTGTTTTCTATAGCTTAAATTTTCATGGTAAATGTGGATATCAATATAACTTGAAATACATATCCATATGATAATAAATTCTGATAATATTGATACTTCAACTTACTGAAGTGTTCTTCTAGTTCTTAATGTAATCTTGTTCTTTTCTACCTCTGTCTATATTCTCTGTTGAGTAGGGTCACATGGGAATTAAGTGAGCTCCTCATCGGTTTTCACTGACTATGTCATTTTTCTGTAGTAATGAAGTTTTTAAGAAATCAACCAGTAACAAAGATAAGCAGCATCTATTCTTTAGAAAATATCTCCTTTCCTTCAGCAATTTTTATGAAAAAGTTAGTTTATAATAGAAGATTAAAGATAACCATCTGATTCCTGCTGTGTACTGTATTATCAGTGTTTGAGACTACATTTGTATCCTCCCAGCCTAGGAACATAAAAAGAATAGACAGGTGAGTGATGGACAAGGATAGAACAATAAGTACCTTTCCTTATCCTACATATATTGTTTCCCATCCCCTAGTAATTCTTGACTCTGGAATGTATAAAGATATTTCTTTCAACCAATATGTGTCTCTTGTAGAGAGCACATAGTTGAATCATGTTTTTTTAATCCATTCTGCTAATCTTTGCCTTTCAATTGGATTGTTTAATCCATTTATGTTTGATGTAATTATTGGTAAAGATGGGATTTACTTATATCATTTTGCTATTTGTTTTCTTTATGTTTATGTCTTTTAAATTCTCTCCTCCATTATTACCTACTTTGTATAAAATAAATCTAGTGAACCATCTTAATTTTCTTGTTTCTTTTACTGTATTTTTTAAATTACTTTCTTAGTGGCACACTCACTATTCATTACAACTCACTGGGAATTACAATTAATATTTTATTTAAAGCAGTTGATTCAGATTATTACCAGTGAAATTTCAATAATACATATAAGCTTTGCTCCAATGGAACATGTTTTTTCTGACTCTTGTGCTGTTGTGACATATAAATCACAACTTTATACATTATAAGCTTATTAACATGTTTTATAATCTTGGCTTAAAGAATTGTCTTTAAATCAGTTATGAGAAAAAAAGAGTTATAAACAAAAATTCATTTATATTGTCTTTTAAATTTTACTGTATAATTAACTTTACTGGTGCTTTTTATATGTTCATGTAAATTTGAGTTATTCTGTTACTGTCTAGCATCTTTTCATCCTTAACCCAAAGGACTGTTTTTAGTTTCTTCATGGACAAGTCTCCTAGAAATTAATTTTCCCAGTTTTTGTCTATCTAAGAATGTCAATTTCACCTTCATTTTCACCCTTTATTTTTTGAGTGATAGGTTTTGTTGAATATAGAATTCTTGGTTAACAGTTTTCTTTAAGTACTTTGAATATGTCATCCTACTATCTTCTAGTTTCCATGATTTTTTATGAAATGTCAGCTGTTAATATTAGTAAGAATCCTTTGTGTGTGATGAATTGCTTTTCTCATGCTACTTTCAAGATTCTGTCTCTTGTCTTTGGATTTCAACAGTTTATGTCTTGATATGGGGCTCTCTGATTTATTCTACTTGAAGTTTGTTGGGCTTAGATGTTTGGGTTAATTTTTTACCAAATTTGGGAAGTTTTCAGCCATTATTTCTTCAAATATTCTTTCTACCCCTTTCTCTCTTTTCTGGCCTTTGGGAAATCCTATTATACATATGTTGGTAGACATCATAGCTCTATTAATCTTTCCTCATTCTTTTTCTTCTGTTTCTCAGACTGGAAGAAAATCTCAGTTGACCAGTCTTCAGGTTCACTGATCCTCTCTTCTTCCAGCTCATATTTTCTTTTGAGCCCTTGTAGTGAATTTTTCATTTCAGTTTTATATTTTTCAACTCCAGAATTTATATTTGTTTCTTTGTGTATGTGTTTTTCTTAATTCCTACTTTTTTTTATTAGTATTCCCTTTTTGGTGATATCATTCTCATAATTTCCTTTGATTCTTTAGGTATGGTTTCCTTCAGTTTTGAACTTATTCATAGTAATTGAAGTCTTTGATAAGTTCAACATTTGGACATCCTCAGAGGCAATTTCTGTTGACTGCTTTCTTTTCATGTGAATGGGCCATAGTTTCTTGTTTCTTTGCATGTCTTACCATTTTTTCCTGAAAATTCAACATTTTAAATAGTGCAGTGTAGTAACTCTAGAAGCCCAATTACTCCCCCTCCCAACCAAGATTTTCATTGTTGCTGTTTGTGTATTTAGTGACTCTCCTGGACCTATTGGTCATGTATGGCCACTGAACTATCTACTCAGTTAAGCTTAGTGTTCAGCTAATAAGATAGATTTCCTTAAATGATCTGAACCAAAATATCTCTTCCCTTTGCCAAAGGGCTCTGTAAGTGGGTTAGAGCATACCTTCTACTGTCCATCAGTTTGTCTTGGCCTCCACTTCCTGCTTGTACAGAGTCTCAGAGTCAGTGAGAGGCAAGAGATTAGGGTCTTCTCAGAGATATCCTGGTCATGCATATAGCCCTGCACATGTGTGTGATCTTCTAGATCCCCAGGAGTATGTCATAACATTTCAGTGTTCCCTATGGACATCTTTTTCCCCATATTTTCCTTTTAAGATTTTGGCCAACCTGTTGTTTACCCCAACTGATATTGCCTCAGGTAACTACAGTGTTAACTATATAGGAAATTTTTATTCTTCCACTACAAAGAGGGAAAAATATTTGAGAAGGAAAAATATACTGACTTAGCTCCCATCTCCTAGCTTATGGACACTAAGATGCCAGGCCTTCGGGTCCCAAAGAGGTTGAGAGCAGAACTTGTCTCCAGTGAGTACATTCAGTGTGACTCTTAAAGGCAAGAGGTCCTGATGGCATATAGACTGGGAGTGAGGGAAACCTCCCAATTCACCCATGTCCCTTAGCCAGCTATATTTATGACCCCATCCAAGCATAATCTAGGGTCTGAAGTCCTGGGCAGATGTAACTATGGCCTGGCTACTCTAGGGAAAACCTCCCTGGATTCAGAGGTACTTCCCAACATAGCCTTTTGGGTAGGACAAGCTTTCCAACCTCTGTCTCACACCCTCTGCTACCCATCACCCTGCCTCTTATGGGAGACTCCCAGGTAGGCCTCTGCCTGGGCCCTTCCACAGCCTGGGCCTCAGGCCTAGAACCCCTGGGAAAGTCCAACTCTGTCTGTGGGCCCAAAAGACACTTAAGTACTATACCAAATATTAGTTTTATTCAAAGTTATGTAATTAGACAAATGGGCATATTACTATGAGATTAACAAATATATTTCCTAATTTAAAAAAAAAACAAACATTTTCATAGGAGTGGTTGCTTCATTTCACTTTCTAAAGGAAAAAAAAACAACACTGGAAACAATTGTTTTGGGGCCAGCTTAATGTCTAAATAAGCTAGACAAAACAAAATGTATGGTGTATCATTTTATATAGTCTATCAATGGTTTGTGTACTAATGACATGTGTTCCCCAAAACTGTAACCTTTATTTTATGAACTAAAGTTGTAATGAAGTCCCAATAGAATATATTTGACAGATAGGCTTTTTTGCTATGTAAAAGTTACATAAATTAAAATTTTCCTTTTTAGCATAAATTAATTACCAGGCTGGTCACTGTGTGACCAGATAAAACATATATAACCCTTACATGTAATTAGTTGTGTTAACTGTGGGTACCAGGTTTCAGTCTGATGACAATCTGACTAAATGTCTATGATCACAGGTCGTATTTCTCTTGGGAAGTTGTCTCTTCCTCTTCTCCATAATGACTTGGAAAAGTAGGCAAACAACAGCTTATTTAATAGTTTAAAGGTCAGGAACCCACTTTCACCTGTAGAATATAATGCTGTCCAATGGCAGATAGTAGGACAAACTTAGACTCCCTTTGAAGCATAATTTATAACATATCACTCTTTAATAACCCAAATGTGAATTTGAGCATTTAACACTTGCTTATACTCTAATTAGTGTTTTTGTCATTATACAAATGCTACCCCTGACCTAATTTGTTCCTACATGATTTATAAATTTTTTTTAAATAGCTCATATTTCTTCATAGATCCGTTCTTTTGAACCACATGGCCAGAGAACATGCTTTCAATATTGGATTGCCAGACAACATTGTAAATTGCAATGAATTTCTATGTGCATTACAGAAAAAGCTTGACAAGTGAGTACTTTATTATGAAACACACCTGGAGCTATTTTAATCGTGGACTCATGAATTTTTAAAAATTAATGTAATAGAAATAATTAAAGAAATGGACTTTTTGCTTTTCTTATGTTGGATTTTATATGATAATCCTCATCTTGTCTAGATCATAGTACCTAGATTATGTTCCATAATTAAAAATACCTTAAATACTGAGCAATGCACATACCATATAAGGTATGTTGTATAGGATATGAAGAATATACAGACATACCTCATTTTATTGTACCTTGCAGATATTGCATCTTTTACAAATTGAAGGTTTGTGACAACCCTGTGTCAAGAAAGTCTATTGGTGCCATTTTTCCAATAGTATTTGCTCACTTTGTGTGTCTTTGTCACATTTTGGTACTTATCTCAATATCTCAAACTTTTTCATTATTATTTTATTTGTAATAGTGATCTGTGACTGGTGCTTACTACTTCCTACAAGCCCAGATATTTTTTAGCATTGTTTAGCAGTGAAGTTTTTTTCACTTAATGTGTGTACATTGATTTTTAGACATAATGCTATATTGCCCACTAATGGACTATAGTATAGTGTTAACATAACATTTATATGTACTGGGAAAACAAAAACTTAATTTGACTCACTTTATTGCAGTCTTTGCTTTGCTGCGGTAGCCTGGACCTGAACCTGCAGTGTCTGTAATATGCACCTGTACTCACCATCCAGCCTAAGATACAGAACAGTAGTAATTTTTCTGAACCTCCCTGTATGCCCTTCCACATTAGTATTTCCTCAGAAATCACTATTCTTAATTTTGGATTTGTAATGCCCTTACTTTTCACAGTAATTTTTCTTCATATTTAGTAAAGTAAATATACTTTTTAATTGTATGTTATTCAACTTTATGTGAGATAGACTATCTGCATTCTTACATCTCTTAATATTTATGCACATTTATATATCATAGGACTCCAGTTTTGCATTGATCACATTTTGGCAACCATGGATATTTGGAGTTTAGCTTGTAGAAATAAGAAAGGAAATTCTCCAGGTCACCAAAATGGCTTTCAAAAATCCATTCACTTTTCTTGGTAAAGGGGCCAAGATTTTTTTCTCTTAAAAGATTTTTTTTTTGTCCATTTATATACAGTACTAAAGAGTGTGGTATTTCAACTGACAACATTTGAAGGAATTAAATTAAAAAAGAAGTATCAAATGATACAGATCAATTATAAAAAGTTCTGAATTAAAATTCTCATATCAACACTACACTAACAAGTCCCTTCCCTCTTTTTTAAAATGACCCTTGGTTTATAAAATATTGCCTGTTGTTCTTTGCCTGTTGTTCTTTCTAGCAGGATTAGCAGTAATGAATATCCCTCATCAGTTTTTTGCCCATAAATTGTTTTTTATAAAAGAATACAGTTATTTAGCATAAGAAATAGCTAAGTTGGCCAATTTAGCCAACTACCAAATAAACCACAGCATGATCCTCCAAAGCCAAATGAATAAAGTGTGAGGGATCCTGACAGGGATGTCACATCCCATGTAAAGGCTCTATGTGTGTGACCTAAAATGAATAAATTTAAGACTCAATAATAATAACAGGCTAGTTCAGCAACTCTCCAAAGACTTGTTTAATCTATCAATGTTTATGTGTTTCTTTTAGCTTGCAGTGCTTGTATTGTGAGAAGACCTTCAGGGACAAAAATACACTTAAAGATCATATGAGGAAAAAACAGCATCGTAGGATCAATCCTAAGAACAGAGAATATGACCAATTTTATGTCATCAATTATTTGGTAAGGCTTTCTTTTTATTATCTAAAATCTGATTGCATTTCTGCAAACAAAAGTCTTTCTAAGGTCCATCTAATATTTAGACAAGCAATTAGCATAAAAGTCAAAATGTAATTGAGGGACACTTTCAAGCAGTGATTAGCTTTAAAAGGGTTGGTTTGCAAAGCATAAATTGACTTAATTTGTCTTTCACTTACCAGATGCTATATAGTAAAAATGTCATGTCTCTAGAACTCACAGTAACCTGGACCAAAACAAACAGAAAGCACTTGGATATCCACACACTCTCCCCCATTTACTGTATTATCTATTACCTCCAAACCAAATACTTCTTTCTGTATTGTATTCAAAAACATTTCTTCATCTCTGAATGTGCTCGGTGCTATGCAAGATATATCTACAAAAACACTTCCTTTATCTCACCATTAAAAAAATCTTCCCTTTCCCCCAAAAAGTTTATTCTAATCATTCTCATACACCAGCTTCTATTTTAACAGAAACTGTAGAGAAACCAAGTCATTTCATTAGGCAAGAGGACTTTTGTTTGTCCAGTAGGATGAGCTAATAGGATTACCATGTCAAGGATTTTAAATACATTGAAAGCTTTCCTTGTCCAGAAACCTCATTACCATTTGCTGACCTCTATAGATCATAGTCCCTTATGGTAAGAAAAGGTATTCAATTGGAAGCAAATGTTTTGGGGATGGGGGACACTTGGAAATTTAAGAGGGGATTTTTGATTGACACAATGACTGGGTAGTGCTATGGTCCCTGCCCCAAATCTGGTGTTTTAGGTGTACACAACAAAGGGAAACTACTTAATGTAAAAGGGGAGGCGGTTAAGTAACCCTCAGTGGGACTGGAAGAAAGATGGAGAGTTCTGTTTGTGACACTTTCCTTAAGCAAATGGATATTGTTTTTTCCTTTTCAATATGAATTAGAATCCAGACCCATGAGTCGCAGAAGGCACAGTTGATTGTAATCAGCCGTTTTATCTATTGGACAGAGACAACCATATCCTGAATTATGTTGGAAATTTCTGCTCTAGGGTAGAATTTATGTCCGTTCTAACTAATCCTTATGGTATTAAAGTAAAATTCTTTCTGAGAAGCAAATTCAACATGTATTTAAGATTGACTCTGAGAGGTTGCCACAGCTTGCTACAAATGTTTTACAGCTAGCTACAGGCAAAGCCGCCCTTTGAGTTCTTTAGTCTTTTGAAATCACTGAGTCATTAATTCCTAGAACAGACACTGCGTTAGGGCCCTGCCCAATCTACTAGGGAGTGGACCTCAGTGTTAGCTCTAAGAAATATTCAACTGCTTCAAAAAAGAAGCAATTTAATAGCACTTCCTTCTGGGGTTCTTTTAAACTAATATTCAAGAGTTTTGGACTAGAAGAACATTATGTAGCTGGAGATGTTGCTTTTAGAGGGAACTTGAAAGGGACTGCTCCCTCAAATTCTACTGACACTTTCAGAAAATTATGATACTTATTCCCTAGGCATCAAATAGGTTGACTGTCAAAACTGAAATTGTCTGCTAGGGACAGCTGTCCCTAGATGAGAATGCTAGATTATACTGTTCTCAGAGTACCCACATTTGATGTAGCATGAATCATAGCTTGAGAGAAGACAATAACATATAAAATGAAAAATCACTTTATGATAATATTGATAGAAGTATCTGTTTTTAACTAACAGCACTTGAGTACTTATTATGTGCCACACACTGTCTTGGGTATTTATATTAAGTCATTTACTCTTAACCAAATCCCTGTGACACAGGTTTTACCATTATCCCCATTTGACAGATTAGGAGACTAGGGCCCAGAGAAGTTGAGTAATTTTCCTAAGGTCACAAAGCTAAAGCAATTTACATAACCTCTCTGTGCATCAGTTTACTCCAACTTCTCAATTTTATCAATTTAAATAATACTAGTACCTACCCCTTACACTTTCAGTTGGGTGCTGTGGTCAAGTAATGGTGATTTATAGTGATCTACTCACCACCCACTTGCCAGGATATTCCTGTCAAGGTACACTTTAATAGTTATAAAAGGTGGGAAAGCTAAGGGACAAAGAGGTTGTTTTTGGCTCTCCTGAACATACAAATTAACAGATTCCTTTTTCCTTCTTAGGTGAGATAATTTCCATGCTTAATAACTAATATCAATTGTTGAATAGTAACAGACTTGCAAATATATAAAAGGCCCTTTATGTATTGTAGATTATCTACTTTGAGTCCTTTCTTTTTTTCTCACAAACAAAAGAATTCAGTGGATAGTGGAGATGGTTAAGTGGACAAGGTCCCAGGTTCTTTCATGTTCAGATACCCCGCCCACCTTGGAGGGCCACAGCCTGCTTTACATCATTATTAAAGTGTTAGTACATATTCCTGAGGTGCTCATGTTTCAAGCCTGAGTTTTTTCTAAAGGGAATTATTTACAATTTAAATGTTTTATTCTTAAAATATACAAAACCACTTGTAACAAGAGTAGTTAATATTTTTCACAATTTTTCATAATTTTGTTATAGTTCTAATGAAATTATTTACATTTACAACACTTCTCAATTTGTTTCTAATGAATTTTTTAAGTATATATAAGTGTGTGTGTTTGGGGGAAGAGGGGAGCTGGGTGAAGTGAAGGCGATCTTTTTTTTCCATGTTTTTTTCCACCCTCTCCTTGATTATAAACCATCTGATGCATGGGTCTGAGGGGGAGTTCTGAACATCTTTACTGACATGCCTTCCAAACTTGTTTTTCTTGCATTCTTCACTTTTCTGACATGATTCATTAGCAAGCACAGTGTCTTAATTAAAGAGAGTTATGCTTTTTTTTTCTCTTTGGGTCTTGTTTCTTTGATAAATCATATATTTAACTATACAAGACAGCATTCTAGAAAAGTCTGGAACAGTGTCATGTGCAAATTGTTTGTCTCCTAATATACTAATGAACACAGAGTTCTATTTTGCTCTCAAGTAGTAAATGGTTAGTACTGTATTGCCCAGAAAAATCCCTATGTGCCATACTGAATGCTGAGAAAGTTGCAAAATAATGCATTGAGTTTGGAAGTTTGACAATGAAAGAATTTTTGTCACTTTTGGCCAAAGCATTTATTGATAAGCAACATTTGCACATATCATTGAGAATGGTAATACTACAGATAGCCCATTCTTGAGTAATATCTTGCAACAATGACTTTAAACACCAAGTCCAGAGAGACCAATTAATGCATGAAACATTTAATTCATCACCAAAAATTCCAGCTAACAAGTTATTGTTGGCAGTGTTGAAGACATTCTTGGTGTCTATAAATGAGGTTCAAACACTTCATGATGACTCTGGGAAGAAGGACATTACAGAGTCCAAATTAACTATCTCTAATGACATTATGGTAAATCTCTGCATGTCTGTGTTTATGCATCATTTAGCTGATAGATAATGACAGCTTCAAAAACCTCTCATTAAGTTGATGAATGATAGGTTTTTTTTCCCCCTAAATCATAATGGTGCTGATATTTCTTTGTTTTTAGTTAAATGAATACCTTTTTTTTTTTTTTGAGGAAAAATTCACTCTTGGTTCAAAACTGAGAGTGAATTTGGTTATGTTTTTCCAAAAGAAGGATATCGAACAAGGGTTTTTGTATTTATAGCAGACCAGGTTGGGCTTGCCTATGACCATAGTTTAACTGAAAGGTGCCCATTAGTGTTCCTACCCCTCTTGAATGCAGTGTCAGCTTTTGCTTGGCACCGTGGGACAATGGATGTTGAGAGAAGAAAGGACGAGAGAGAGGAACAGATGACTCACAGGAGTAGAAGAGAAATGGTTGGGCCAAAAGAAATCATTCCTGCTCTTCATTCCATAAAATGTTGCTGAAACAATGGCTAAATTTGCCACACAGCCCAAAAAGGGTGGAACTTCTCCACGAACTGTAAGAGATAAAAGAGATTTGAGTAGATAAATTTAAATACCACTGTTGCTGGGTGCCAAGTGCCTTATATACATTAACTCATTTATTCACCTTACAAAAACCATTTGAGGAGGGATCTAAATTGGCATCAAATTTTTAGACTTTTTTAGTTATAGTTCAATTCAAAAATACTTTCTAGTACCCACTGTATACCTGGCTCTGGAAATTTAACAACAGCAGCCATGTCCTTATGGGATGTTCTAGTGGAGAAGACAGATAGCAAATAAAACAAATAGTTACACAGAATGATTGTGGTTAGTGATCAATGCTTTGAAGAAAAATAAAACACCATAGAGGAATTAAAGTAACTTGCAAGAGGGGTGCTGTTTTAAACAAACTAGTCAAAAAAAAGGGTGGTAACACTTAAGCAGATGTCAGAATGACTGAGCCTTACAAATATGTGAGGAAGCAGTGTTTCAGGCAGGCGATGCAGCAAGTACAAAGTATCTGGGGAAAAGTAAGTGTGCTATGTTCGCAGGGCAGCAAAAAGACCGGTCTCTATGTTTCAGGCAGGCGATGCAGCAAGTACAAAGTATCTGGGGAAAAGTAAGTGTGCTATGTTCGCAGGGCAGCAAAAAGACCGGTCTCTCTGAGCAAACTGAGTGAGTGGAAAAGTGGTGGGATACAAGGGATGGAGAGGGAGCCAGGGCAGAGCTTGGAGGTCTTCGAAGCCATGATGAGGACTCTGAGTTTTATTCTAGCTCTGCTGAGCAGGCAGGGAAGGTTTATACCCATGGGGAGGTGTCCTTCAGAAAGGTGACGGGCTACTGCTTGAGAAGCAGGCTGTCAGGGCCCTGACGTAGAAACAATCCATCTAGGAGGGTGTTCCAGGGTCTGCAGTGAGGGATATTTTTGGTTTTTTAAGAAGATCCTCAGGAGATCCTAATGTGTATCCAGTTTGAGAAATGCTGATTTACATTTAAGAGAAAGGAATTTGACTGAAAAGATATTTCTGCTTCTCCAAAAAGAAGAACACCTTGAAAGCATTCCTTACCACCAAAATGAGAGTTCTAGTATATCCTTTTTACATTGTTTTAAAACCATTTGAGTATGGGTTTTAGTGTTTGTTTTTGGGGGTAGTGGGGGGAGTTCTGTGACTGTTTTCTACCTCCTTTCTCCTCTCTCCTCTGCCCCCTCCATCTCTCTAATGCCCCTGTTCTTCCTACGAAGGAACTTGGGAAATCATGGGAAGAGGTTCAATTGGAAGATGACCGGGAATTGCTGGACCATCAGGAAGAGTAAGACTTGTTATTGATGCTAATTTAATTATAGTATCTAAGAGTAGGAAAAAAAGTTATTTGGTTTAAAATGATCATTCTGAAGAGAAAATACAAACAAGGAAAAGTTTCTCAGCCATGCATCCTGTCAGATAATACTGCAAAAACTTAAACCCAAAATAACTTTGACATAAAAACCACTAAAACAACTATTGCTCCAACTAAATAGTGTTTTGCCATTAGAGCTCTTAATTGAACAAACAGGTAATATATAATTCAGAGAAAAATATATAATTCAGAGAAAATTAACCTTTGCTTAATTACTCTTGATCCCTGACCTTGCAAGGCTACAAAGCTTGTCATTGGAGTAGAGAATATAACTGAATTGAAGTTAGCCTTGTTCTGTGTTCTGATGACTAACTTGAAACATTCACAGCTTCTTTGCTTAAAATTATAAGCTTGAGAAGTATTCTTTTCAACCTAAAAGGATTCCCTGTTATTTGTCCTCTTTTCATTCAAAGCTGCTCGGCCTTTTTTTTCTGCCAGGATTTTGATTTTCCTGGCTTAGAAATGACAAGTTGGCAATATCTCGAGAAATAAATGCAGCAGGGTGGGGAAGAATGGCAAAAATGATCCCGTTTGTTTTGTTTTTTTTTTTAGTTCTGTACCACCAGATTTAACACTTGACACATTTAAAATGATGAGTATTTCTCATATAAAAGATACATGGTTTGCCTTTTTAAAATACACATTTGTCATGCAGAAACACTTCGAGCCTCATACCTCACATCATGTGCACTTACTGGTTATGGCTAATGAGAGAGAGCATTGCATCTCCTGATATGTCTCTTTGCAGATTAAACCTAGCTGCCTCAGACATTGCACTGATTCTGTAGTGAAATATCGGCGCAGAAGAGAGACAAATATATGAAAATGGAGCAGCACCTGTTCACTATTTATATTAATTTCATGGTGCTGCTTTGAGTTTCAAAAGCTGTATCAGGAAGTATAATATGATGTGACAAGTCTTTACAAAAATGGCAAGAGTTGTAAAAGATTGGCAGGGTTTCCTAGGGAGAAGACAGTAAATACCAAGTCACTGAGAAGAACACCCTCTTAATGAAGGGTTTGCTGTTTTGTGGTTTTTTTTATAGTGAATGGTCTGATTGGGAAGAATACCCTGTCTCTGCTGTTTGCCTATTTTGTGAAAAGCAAGCAGAAACAATTGAGAAATTGTATGTCCACATGGAGGTGAGAAACCTTTTCATTTGAATTTTGTTTTGTTCTGACGGGGAAGCTGCTAATTATCGCAACCTCATCAGCTTATGCCTTTGGTTTCTCAATCATGATCCCATTTATGAAAGTGCTATAAGCAAAACAGAAGCAACAGGCCAGGTCCATCGAGAAGGTCACATTGAGAGGAAGCTCTCAGGGCAATTTACTGGACCTGGTGAACTGTTAGTGGGGGATTTCACAGACCACTGATGCTGTCCCAACTCTGAGATGCTTATCAGGCAAGTAATTCCAGCTTAGAATGTGGGATCTGCAGCTGCAATTCCCAGTACCCAAGATATGGACAGGTTCTGTGTCTTTTTTCGGTGCTTCCTGTGCTGGTGCATAAGGAGAGCAGGAGGCAAGACAGGCCCTTCCCAAAGCCATTGGAGTAAACGGGGTGGCATGGGCAGGGGCTGTGAGGATAGCAAGGGTACAGGCTATGGTCTTGCATTTCCCGCTGTTACAGGAGTTGGAGAGAAGAAATTTGAGGGTATTTCTAGTTTGTGCTTCCCATTATGGATGCCATTTTTATGTCAGAATAAAGCTTAAAGCTAATTGTTCTGAATCTTTTTTTCATCCCAGTATATCTAAGAGGTGACACACTCTCTTCAGCTCTGTTCCTCAGCTGGGCGGACGGTGGGAGCAGGGATGGGGACATCTAATAGTTCATGGCAGTATCTCAGCTGGGAGGAGAGGGATGATTATAATAGAAAACTATTACCAAGTGATTCTGGTATGTTTTCTCTCCTCTGCCCCCCACCCATTTCTGGCATAAGTTGAGCAGACTCCCCTCTTCCACTCACCTTCTCTTCAGTCTCATTCACAAATACTGTTCTTAGTTCAGTAAAATAAAGACCCAGAAGGTGCTCAAAAGGCCATGGGTATCTACCTTTATGAAAGTAAAGAATCCGTTTCTCTGGAACAGGTTGCAGCTGTTATGTGTGTGTAGTTCCAGTGTTTAATTTTAGTTTATAATGCCCCAATAGAAGTGAAAGGGGCCTTAGCACCCTGTACCCTGTGTAGGAATTGCCTTTGCAGCATCCATGCCAGGTGTCCCCAGCCTTTGCTCAGTCACTTTCAGTGATAATGCGTTATGAGGTTCCTAATTGTCCTGCCTGTGGCATTGCCCTGAATGCTTCACAGGGAGTTAGATGAGGCATACTAGTCTCTGTATGCTTGCAAGTGAAAACATTTACCCAATTGGGTGATTACAGGATGGAACAGAATAAAATAAGTCTCTGCATTATAAAAGTCAAGCCATGTCAACTTGCTGCACTGGTGGACAGTGACTGCATTGGGGTATGGGTGGGAACTTGATAATATGGGTAAATGTAGTAACCACGTTGTTTTTTTCACGTGAAACCTTCATAAGAGTGTATATAAATCATACCTTAATAAAAAAATTTTTTTAAAAAGTCAAGCCATGTAATTTATGGGAAGATGTGAGTGAAGAGAAACTTGCAGGCTTAAATAGCATAAAATGAAAAGCAGAATTTGTACAATTACCTATCTGCTTGGGGGCAAAGCACCTAGGTCCCTAATTCTAGTCTGGATGTATAATACACTACGTAGGGCTTCATCTTACCTGGAGACTGAAGATACTTCTGTCAGTCTGCAGAAAGCATACAGAGTAAATTATAAAACTGCAGGTACAAGCTGTGAATAATTAAAATGTTTTAACTGATTGACATGACTTGTTTGCTTTGCCTTAAAAAGCATTTGGATGTGGAGGGAAGCAATTAGATTGGAAGACTTCAAAAGCAGATGAATGACATGACTTGTTTGCTTTGCCTTAAAAAGCATTTGGATGTGGAGGGAAGCAATTAGATTGGAAGACTTCAAAAGCAGATGATGAACTGAGATTGTGGTGTTCAAACTCCTGAGAATAAGGTGTCTGCTTTGGACTTTGGCCTGAAAGATTAAATAATTCATGTGCTCACAGATACATTTATCCCATTTTTTAGGATGCACACGAATTTGATCTCCTCAAAATAAAGTCAAAACTTGGTAAGTTTGATGTGGAAGTTGTTTTCCATAGTGCTGCGTTTTCTTATACCCATCCTGTAAACGATGCCTGTGTTCCACAGTCATGATGGGAACATGCACAGCCAAAATGTGTGTCTCCACAGATGGTGTCAACAGACCTGCCTGAAGCAGTGATTCACAGACATTTTGAACTGTAATTTCAAATGTTTATTTCATATAGTCTCTCTTCTTCTTTCCTACCAATATGAGTGCTTCAGATAAAATGCAAGTTAATGGTTAGTATCCATCATAAAGTAGAGGGGGCTAATGGGAAGAATGTGGGCTTTGAAGTCAGACTAGAGTTCATATTCCAGCTCCAGCACTTATGGGCTGTGTCACATTGGGGCCCAGGTCCTAAGAATTACGGATTAGATAATGTGCATAAAATACCCCCTGCACTTCTTGACATTGGAGCTAGATTATTTATTATAGGTGTGCCCAATTATATCATTCTCAGTATCGCTATGATGGAAACATTAGGGGCATGAAGACATAAAACACTGGCTTACTAATGAATCCAGGACAGTACAAAGCTCATTTCCCACAGCTCACATCACTGACGACTTCCCTAGACTCTTGAATGTATTACTATACTTTGCTGTTCTTATAGACATATATTTGTACATATCATTAGATTAGTAATCAAGAACATAGGCTCCGGAGCCAACAGTCTGGTGTCAGATTCTGACTCTGTCACTTGCTAGCTGTGTAGCCTTCAACAGTTACCTAATATGTCATGTGGATGATAGGATAATACTGCCTATGTGATGAGGTTTTGTGAGGATTAAGTGTATTAATACATGGAAAATGATTAGAACAGTACCTAACACATAAGACCTATATAGGTATTGGCTATTATTATTTGGTATCTGTTATTATGCTGTATAATTGCACTACTTTCTCAGGTTGTTTAATAAAGAGAAGTGGCTCTTCTACAAAATTACAACAGTACAGGTCTGACCACTTGTCTGATGATAATGTGTATTGTCATTTTCAGGGTTAAACTTCTATCAGCAAGTGAAACTGGTTAATTTCATTCGGAGGCAGATGCACCAATGTAGATGTTATGGCTGCCACGTGAAGTTCAAATCCAAAGCAGAGTTAAAGACTCACATGGAAGAAGCTAAACATGCATCACTGCTTCCTGAAAGAAAGACATGGGATCAACCATTGTGAGTACTGTTCAGCTAAATGTACACTTCTTTGCTTCATCTCCCTATGTGTTTCCTTTATTTAAGTACATTAAACTTAAATAAAAACGAAATGCATGTTTTTTGTGAAAAGCAAAAATCTTCGAAAACCTGACTTTTAAATTAATCCCTCTCTTATAAATGTAACTAGCTATTTCAGATAATGTGGTGAGGAGATAGATACAGCTGTACATAGATATAGAAGTATAGATTTTTAGTTATATTTTGTTAACAGAGCAGTACAAGCATCTTTCCATATCTAATACACACCTATTGCACTATTTTTTAATGGTTGCCAAATATCCCATTGTATGGATATGCCTTAATTTGTTAGATATTTAGGTTCTTATGTTTTGCTCTTTTAAATAGTGTTACAATGAATATTCATATGCCTGCAGTTATTGCATACTTAATCTAAGTTTTCATTTAGATACACTCCTAGAAATAAACTGTGTCAAGTTTGCAACTACTAGGGCTTTTGGTATAAATTTTTGCATGTTGGCACTTTAAAAACACTAAGTGATTGGTTTACTGATACCACCTATTGAGGAGGTATCAGACTCCCAGGTATCCTTTGCTAGGCCAACCTTCTGAGTTGGTTCTCATATCACTCTGGACAACCTCAGTTGAGGGAACCTCTGAGAGGTTGTGGGTTCTAGCTGCCCAGAGGTCCCTCTATTCTCAGGGAATATTAAATCAGGACTTTCTAAACTCTAGCCAAATATCTATAGTTTTTCTTCTTTAGAAAATCCCAGATTTTGGCGAGGATGCAGAGAAAGGGGAACCCTCCTACACTGCTGGTGGGAATGTAAGCTAGTTCAACCATTGTGGAAAGCAATATGGAGGTTCCTCAAAAAACTAAAAATAGAAATACCATTTGACCCCAGAATCCCACTCCTTGAAATATACCCAAAGAATACAACTTCTCAGATTCAAAAAGACATATGCACCCCTATGTTTATTGCAGCACTTTTTACAATAGCCAAGATTTGGAAGCAACCTAAGTGTCTATCTGTAGATGAATGGATAAAGAAGATGTGGTACATATATACAATGGAATACTATTCAGCCATAAGAAAGAAACAAATCCTACCATTTGCAATAACATGGATAGAGCTGGAGGACATTATGCTCAGTGAAATAAGCCAGGTGGAGAAAGACAAATAATGATTTCCCTCATTTGTGAAGTATAACAATGAAGCAAAACTGAAGGAACAAAATGACAGCAGACTCAGAGACTCTAAGAATGAACTAGTGGTTACCAAAGGGGAGGGGTGTGAGAGGGTGAGTGGGGAGGGAGGGAGAAAGGGATTGAGGGGTATTATGTTTAGTACACATGGTGTGGGGGACCATGGGGAGAACAGTGTAGCACAGAAAAGGCACATAGTGGATCTCTGACAACTTGCTGCACTGATGGACAGTGACTGCATTGGGATATGGGTGGGGACTTGAT